TACAGGACACTTACTGCGATACACCAAGATCCCAGCAATCCCAGCAATCACCAGGACAACAGCAGCCACAATGCAGCCAATGATGATCAGCCTCAAGTTGGATTCTGGAGCTAAATTGGGAGAAAGAGCAAATCATGCAACAGAAATCACAAAATCTCTACTTATTGAAGGAAAGACCTCAAATAGCCAGAAAAATAAGGACTCTCCCAAGTTAAAAAATGTCAGGTGTTTTTACGTCATAGGAGATGTCAAAAATTTTACTCCACACATTCTGTGGATTTATTCACTCTGAATAATTGATTTATGAACGTGCACAGCTACCCAGAGTTTACAGACAAAAAATGCCCGTCTTTTCCTAACAACCCTATCTCTGCTCCGCAGGACAAGAGACATTTGCCACAAATTGTATGCCCTCAGATGCACACCCAGGCTGCAGATGGAATGGCAATTCAGGCCACTAAATCCAACCCCCTGCTCAATGTGCATAGGGAGCCTCAGAAATGACCTTAGAGAAGCTATGCAGATACCAATAGAAGCGAATATGTGTAACTCAGGGTTGAACTGTGGAGTCCTTGGGGTGCTCTGAGTTTGGTTCGTTACCCAGCTATGTAACATCTTCAGTGCTAGAATGGAATGGGGTTTGCTCTCTGTTTAGATACTCTTGCATGCCCTGCCAGTGTTGGTGGGGGTGGGGGTTTGGTTTTGTTCCTCTGGCAGTTCCTTGATTAGGGTATTGTTTACTGCTTGATTGTGTGCCTGGTGGTAATCTTGGTGTTAATCTCTGCTTCTCTGTTTAGATACTCTTGCATGCCCTGCCAGTGTTGGTGGGGGTGGGGGTTTGGTTTTGTTCCTCTGGCAGTTCCTTGATTAGGGCAATGTTTACTGCTTGATTGTGTGCCTGGTGGTAATCTTGGTGTTAATCTCTGCTTATCTGGGTGATGACTGCTGGCAAGGAGATGTTCTGCTCTTTTGTCTCCTTTTTATTGTCTCTTTTGAATAATGTGTAGATGTTGT